GTGAAGGAGCTCTATGGGGAGAAGTTCCTGGCGTCTGGTGAGTGAGCTGTGGGCTGGGGAGAAGGAAGCAAACCTTTGTGTGGCTGCCCTGGGCCCACCTCTAGCGCCTCCTACAGACCCGGGCCCCTCCTGCAGGCTCGGAGTCCCCCACACAGTGGGGACATTTTGTTCCATCCCCGTGGTCCCATGTGGTCCCTGGTGACCTCAGGGAAGATCCAGGCTTGTCAGACCTGGGGACCGCTGTTTCCTCCGATGCCCTCGTTGTTTGGGGAGGACCCTGAAGCCAGAGGGGGAAGAAGAGAGGCGTGGATTCCTGGCAAGCTGGCGTGAGAACCGCTGGTTGTCAGGTGCTTAGAAGTCTGGTGTTTGTAGAGACCTCGGTTCTGCAGAGCACATATTCCCAGGAATAGAGCCAGAGGGGGCTTAGTGTGGAGAGCCTTCCTGTGGTAGGAGGTGCAACACACTCAGCAGAAATCCATGTGCCAGATCCTCACACTGAAGGCAGGGTTGTGTCTCCACAGTTTTGGGCTCCCACTCCGGGTGGTGGAGGCTGCATACCTATAGGGTTGGAAACAAGCTTGCACAATCAGTACTCACTCCCTGCCCTCTCCAGCTCCCTTTCCCATCGCCTATGGCTCCCCTCTTCAGAACAGCCATGGTGGGTGAAGAGGCAGTGGGTGGGGGTGGGGCCTCCTGGGAGGTAGTCCCGCTGAGCCTCCAGGAGGGCACCACGAGGGGGCGCGCGCCTCCGCCCCGCCGCGCACTTGGCTTACAGGTGCAGTCCCGGAGCCTGGCAGAGCTGCCTCGCCCTCCGCAGGTCGCCTGTCTCACTGTCCAGACGTCCTGTGCAGGATCTCAGTGCAGAGATTCGCGGCAGCGAGTCTCCATCCCCCTGGGGCCGCTGCAGGGTTTCTCATTCTGGCCCCCACAGCTCCCAGGTAAGTGAGGGGCACCTCAGCCTCCTTTTCTCTTACCCCCCTCTCTGAACTTCTTGTGATTGTTCCCACCTGAAACGGACTCTGAAGCTCCTGGCACCCCCGGCAAGTGGTCACATTGCTTTGAGGATTTGCAAGAGTGCAGCAGCAGGCATTGAGGGCTGGGAGATGTGTCTGCTGCGTGGCCCCTTGAAAATTAATGGTGAAGGAATTTGTAGTCACTGAGGAAGAAACCCTCCAGTTCCTTGCAAGTAAAGAAACACGGTCTGATCCCTTAGTGGGGTTTGGTGTCCAGTTAGGATGTGCGTTGCCTTGCACCCCTGAGAGTTTCCTGGGCTCCTTCCTTCCTCCTTGCTTTCTTCCTCCCCGACCCTTTGGGAAGCCCGTGTAGGAGGGTCCCTACAGTGACCCCAGGAAGCAGGGACAGGCTCATTTCAGCAGGACCAGGCCTGCTCATGCTGCTACCACCTCCCACCTTAAGAGACAAACACTTTCAGGACTACCGTCGGCTCCTTGCACAGAACAGTTTCAACTAAAGCCTTAATCGGTGCCCCTTTCTGTCTTTTTCACCTGCTGGGGGAGAGCCGGGGGCAAGTGAGCCTCTGGTTCCTGCGGGGAAGCCTCTCTGCCCCTCTCAGTGCCTCTCCTAATTCTAACTTACCTTCCAGAGCTGTATAAATGTGGACAGGGAGGGAGAAGCCCAGAGGAGTCCAACTGGCTTCTGGTCTTGTCCCGGCCCCAGCTCTGTCCACTCTCCTTTTGCCGAAGTGGTGTCCTCTGCCTCACCCTGAAGCCCCTCTGTGCACAGCTCTTCTGTCCGGTCCCCAGCCCTTTCTTTTGTGTGCTGAGGGGGCAGCTCCTGCCTCCTCCCCACCATCACCCAGACACATACCGAACGAACACCTTTGCAGGTGCGGGGACTTACAGCCCTGCCTGCTTCGGTGGGGTTTAGGACGCCCCGTCCCTTGGCCCCCGTGCAAACCGGTCTTTTCTGCCTTTGGAGTCTGTGTCTGGTCTGGATTCTGGCTGTGGGAGGGCAGAGGGCAGTGCAAGCAGGCCCCCCAGGCTGGGGACGGCGCATCTCCACGGAGCGAGACCCGCTTTGCCAAAGTGCTTGCTTCCAACCCTCCTAGTGACTGGGAGCGACTGGGAGTGGGCGGTCTCTCTCCTGCGTGTGCCTACCCCCATTCCCTTGTCCCCACCTCTTCGAGGTCAGATTCCCCTTCAGGCTCCTGAACATCTGTCTGCCTCAGAGAACTACTACAGCAGGAGGGGACCTTTGAATCTGTGCCTTCTTCTAACCCCTAGAGAGGCCAACAGTGACTTAGATTTCTGAGGAGTGATGTGTACCCTGAGCCCGAGGAGGAGACCCCGGCCCAGAGTGTAAGCTGGCAGCCCCAGGTCACACGGCTAGTTGGTTGGTAGCAGAGTTGGGTTTTGAAACCACGTGCATCTTGATTCACAGCATATCTATCAACTTTGTAAGAATCTCCAGTAAGTCAGGGAGACCAGGGTTCCAGACTTGACCAAGAACGAAGTAGACAGTTCTGAACCATGAGATCTAGGACATAGGGGACTCCAGTGTGTGTGCCTGCGTGTGTGTGAGAGAGAGAGAGAGAGAGGGAGTAGGTGGGCAGAGGGAAATGGAGGAGTGGAAGGAGAGGTGACTGGGAAAAGTGTCTCCATGTCAAAGGATTCTTTGTGAAATCCAATGGCATCTAGTAGAAAGGGTATAAGTGTACCAAAGAGCCTGCAAGTTGGCCCCCGAATCAATAAGACTCACTAAAGATGGCAACCAGGAACAACTTGAGGACCCTACGTCAGACAGCCTGGAGGCTGGCCAACTGCTCACACCTGTGTGTTCTTAAGTCGTCCTGCCCAAACACTGGCCACACTCATTTCATTTCAGCTTGTGTGATCCCCTCACCATGTGGCTGTCCGTGGTGGCCCTCGTGGGCCTGTACTACCTCCTGCGCTGGTACTGGGAGAGGCAGGTGGTGAGCCACCTCCAGGACAAGTACGTCTTCATCACGGGCTGTGACTCAGGCTTCGGGAACCTACTGGCCAGGCAGCTGGACCTGCGAGGCTTGAGGGTGCTGGCCGCGTGTCTGACGGAGGAGGGGGCCCAACAGCTGAGAGGCCAGACGTCAGACAGGCTGGAGACGGTGATCCTGGACGTCACCAAGACAGACAGCATCTCTGCGGCCACTCAGTGGGTGAAGGAGCGTGTGGGGGACAGAGGTACGGCCCAGATTCCTGTTTGTGTCTCTGTTTCTTCTCTCTGTGCAAGGGAGACCTCTCTGTGCAAGGGAAAGATACCCGAGATGTTTTCATTTTCAAAGCCTCAAGCTCTGTTGTTTCCTGAGCAGAAGGCCTGGAGTGCCAGGGTCTGAGCCCAGGGTTAGACGAGCCTAGCCCAAGTTTAGGGCCAATAGTCTGGAGGAGGTATTGGGCCCTCGCGGCTTGTGATGGGGCAGCATTCGACCCAGGCTCCTGATCTCAGCAGGTGCACAGTTTCTTGATGGGGCCTTCACATCCAGCCCTCTGTAGGGCTTTAAGATCAGCCCCACTTGACTCACGAGGACGCTGAGGCTCAAGGAGCTGGAGGGACTTTTAGTCAAATATGGGTGAGGGGGTCCTGTTCTTTCTCCTCCATTATGCTGCCTGCCCTTTTTGGGAAAGAGGACATCACTGATGTCTTTTTTTGTGATTAAAAGTATAAAACACACTCGTAGAAAACGTAGAAGAGGATAAAGATAAAAGGACATTTCCCAAAGCCCAGTTTCCAGAGTCAGTCACTATCTACATTATTATGTATCCTCTGATCAACATTTTCATCATCAAATCTTTTCCAAACATAATATTCAATGTCTGTATGTCCAAGTATGCTGAGAGACCACCATTCACTGAAGCCATCCTATATCGTTGTCTCCTGACGTTTGTTTTCCACTTTTGCTGGCATAAACAACATCTCAGTGAAGATTTCTGTAATAAAGCTTTGTTTCCGTTCTCGGGAATGTTAAGTAAAATACAATAATTGGATCAGAGAGCATGCATTTCTTTAAGGCCAAGGAAGGTTTCTGAGCAGGGGAGGGATGAGTATCACAGGGGGCCTTCTTCCCTTTCCAGTATTCCCAGGGTCAAACCCTGTCCCTCCCCCTTCCCCCCCCACCAGCCCCTTGTCACTGAGGACAAGAACCTGCTGACTTGAAGACTATTTCAAATCCTTTGTTGTGTCTTTTCTCCCCATCTCTTGGGGGGAGCTTTCCTGAAGGCTGAGTGGGCTGGGGACCTAGGAGGAGGGGGCTAGAGTGAACTTTTGGGAGGGTGAAGGAGAGGGTGACACTTCTTGGGGCTAAGGAGGCAGTCTGCACTAGTGTGTGGCATGAGGCCTCGTCGCCTCCTCCCCAAAGCCTGCCCCGGACTCACTGCAGGGTGAGCTTTGGAGGAGTCCTCCAGCACAAAGGCTGGACTTGGCTTCCCGAGCAGATACCCCCTGGGAGTCGGCACAGGTTGTTGCAAAGCCTGCCCTGTGGTGCCCAGCACAGGCCTGTTCTCTAGATTACCCTGATGTGGGAATTTCATGTCTGTCTTTCCCAGTGGAGTGTGGGCAGTCCGTTTTCATGTTTTTTCTCCCTTTATTTTTAAATTTTCTCTTTCTTTTTTCTTCTCCAGTTTCCCCTTCATTTTCATCACTTAACCATTCCTGTCTACCTCTCGCTGTCTCTTTCCTATGAGAGTTGTGAACACTATGCTCTTATCTGGAACTCTGGGCACGCTCGTCACAAAAATGGGCTTATTGCCTCCTGCACGCCAGGCACCTAGGAGCAGCAAGATGAGAAGGAGGTTTCGTTCTAGCTCAGTGAGCATCCAGTAGCTCAGTGTGCGTGCAGACCCTGGCCCCCTGTACCCGCCTTATCCCTAGTTCCTCTCCTGTGCTCTTTTCCTTTATACCATGTAGGCATTGTTGTTGGTTCTGTAAAAAAGTGGGTTGGAAGGTAACTTGGACCACAACCGTGTCTCACACAGGCACACAGACAATGTTGCTCTCTCCTTACCCTGTGCCCAGGACTCTGGGGCCTGGTGAATAATGCTGGCATCTCTGTGCCCACGGCACCCAATGAGTGGCTGACCAGGCGTGACTTCATGAAGATACTTGACGTGAATCTCTTGGGGTTGTTGGAGGTGACGCTGAGCCTGCTGTCCCTAGTGAGGAAGGCGAGGGGCCGCGTGGTCAATGTCTCCAGCGTCATGGGCCGGCTGTCCCTTTTTGGTGGGGGCTACTGCATCTCCAAGTATGGCGTCGAGGCCTTCTCGGACTCCCTCAGGTATTGAACTGGGACAGAGGCCCTCCCTCAGTCCTCCTCGTCTGTGCTTCTGGGGGAGATTTTTCTAGGGGGTTCATTTCCTCACAGCCTCAGAGGCTCTTCCTTCCAGATGCTTCTCTCTTGCTTTGTGCCAGACATTCATTGGGAAGCACCATCCTATGCTCTGGGTGTTGGAATAGGCCCCAGGCATATAGAACTGGTTTCACCCATCGCTGCCCTGGGGGAGGGCCCACAGTAGGGAAGTGTCTGAGGCAGCGTTGGACCTGAGATCATTTGGCTACAGAGCTCATGTCCATAATTCCTATAATGTTCAGCTTCAGGGGGCCCTTCACGTGGGGGTCCAGCATTTGACTCCATTCAATAGTTACTTCTCGGCACTTCTGTGAGTATACAACGTAGGTGTCTGACCTAAAAATTATGACAGCTGAGGGGCGCCTGGGTGGCTCAGTAGGTTAAGTGTCTGCCTTTAGCTCAGATCATGATCTCAGGGTCCTGGGATCGAGCCCCACATCGGGCTCCCTGCTCAATGAGAAATCTGCTTCTCCCTCTCCTTCTGCCCTTCCCCACTCCTCATGCTCTCTTTCTCTCTCAAATAAATAAATAAAATCTTTAAAAAAAAAAAAGTCTGACAGCTGAGAAAGGGACAAGTGAGACACAAATGTCGTGACCATCTCTCATGAAGGTTGTGACCGAGCCAGTTAGCCATGGTGGTGGGGGTGGCCAGCGGAATGAGGGGAGGGTCCTGGAGAAGGGCCTGAGCTGAGGATTGAAGAAATGAACTTGGCAACCTGGCAAAGTTGAGTGGGAAGGTCTCCTGCGTGAGGGAACCACTGAAGCCCAAGCCCAAGCCCAAGCCCGAGCCCAAGGTGAGTCATGGCCTATGCTGCACGGTCCTCCAGGCTACCGGACAAGGCCCGGCTGGACAGGGGTCATGCTGGGCAGGTGGGCATGGGCAAGCTGTGGAGATGGGGTGGGGGTGGGGGGTGGGGGACCGGACAGGCTGCAAACCTTCATGCTATTGGCAACAGGACCCCGTGGAAGGGGTTTACTCAGGGGAACTTTGTCAAATCAGCCTCTGGGGAGCCCACCAGCTGCAGGGCAGAAGTTGGCTCTGGGTATGAGGCAGGAGGTAAAATGGGCAAAGTCTGGAGATGGATTGGATGTGAAGGGAAATAGGAAGAGACAGCACGTGAGCGGTGTCCTGCAGCAGGCTAGGCAGGATGTGGGCTCAGCAGCGCGTGGACCATACTGGGAAACACACACATACATTATACACAGACTATGCTGCATCACTATTTTCTCCCCCTGGCCGCTGCTCTTGGAACCTTCCCAAGCTTTTGAGTTGATCCCACCCCAATCCCGAGTTAGGTTTATATCAAGTTTGTTTGTTTGTCGTGTTTGTCCCCAAGGCCTCCCAAGTCCTTGCCCCTCTGCCTGTCTGCCTTGCAGGAGGG